TTGTGTTCCCTCTCTCGCTGTGTCTCTCTCTGTCAAATAAATAAAATCTTTAAAAAAAAAAAAAAGTACACTTTATACTTAATTTTACTGATCTTAAATCTGTATCTTTCACATTGGAAATCTAGCTTCTTAAGGAGATACGCATAATTACTTAGCTCTCACTCTTCTCACATAGTCCCAGAATAGTGGTACCAACACTAGAACAGTGGTGGGATTATTGGAAACAGTTGGTTTTTTTTGGTAGTTCTTTTTGTCCTTAGGGTTATCTATGTATTTACTGTGTTTAAAGTCACTTGAAGGTAGAATTTGGGACAGGATAAGGAGGGGAGTGTATATACTGTCCCTAAATGGTTCTCTGTGAGTCTGTGCTCATCGCTGACCTACTGTCCATTTCTTTTCCAGTTGGAGAGAGTACCATCACCTGATCACCGCCGGAGAAGCTACCGAGACTTGGACAAGCCCCGTCGTTCTCCCACATTGCGCTATAGGAGGAGTAGGAGCCGGTCTCCCAGAAGGTAAGCCCCTAGTCTTTGGCCTCTTACAGGGAGACTTTAAGCATGGTAGCATAGAAGTTTGGACTTCAGGGAAGGAAAAAGTCCAGATTGTGGAGAATGTCTGCCCAATGTAGTAATTGCTATAAAACCACCACCCGCAAAATGTCCGTGGCAGACAATAACCATTTATTTAGTCTGCTGTCAGTGATTTAAGCTGTGCTTGGATAGGCAGTTTAAGTTCATGCACCTGTTTTGTGGTCAACTGTATACTGGCTAGTACAGGATGGCTTTTAATGAGGATGACTGGGGCAACTCATCTCTTCTCTTTGTGTATGTGTGTCTCATTCTAGGCTGGGTTAGGCATGTTCTCAGGGCAGTGGCAGAATTCAAGAGCACACCAGCTCAATCATCAAATTTCCTTCCAGTATCTGTTGGTATCACATCTGCAAATACGCCATTGACCAAAGCAGGTCACATGACCGATCCCAGACTTAGAGTAGGAGGGTGCTGATAAAAGGTTACAGGACAAAGAATCATGGATAACAGAAAGGGGTGAAGAACTGGGGCAGTTTTTGGAATCTTCAAGTGCAGTGCACCTACTAAGGTTCTTCCTTTTTTCTTTCTGTATAGGCGGAGTCGGTCTCCTAAAAGGAGGAGGTAGGCCTTCGGTTGATTTGTAATGAAAGATAGGGCCTTGGAAGGAGGGGGGCGTGCTGCTGTTGTGGAGAGTACAATGTCAGATAAAGGGATCTAACCAATCATTTCCACAGCCCCTCCCCTCGCCGAGAAAGGCATCGGAGCAAAAGCCCAAGACGTCACCGCAGCAGATCTCGAGATAGACGGCACAGATCCCGCTCCAAGTCCCCAGGTATAGCATTTGGGCCTTTTGCTATTGGTGGTCTTAAAGAAATGCAGTAAGTGCTTAGCCTCCTCCAGCACAACAGCCGGCTATATTATGGCTTAAAAGAAAAGGAAATGAGAATATGAAAATTTAAGAGTTCACATCTTCACTTTCTCTTACAAGCTTTGGTGAAAGGAGGATGAGCTTCAGTTTTTTTCATCTGAAATTATAGGAATAAGACCTTACATAGTGGTAAATACTCAATGTGATGTTTGTAAAATTAGCCATAACCTGGAATGCATTTGAAGTAGGTTCAGTTTTTCTGACACTCCCCCATAAACACACACACAGTTCAGATCTAAGAGGTGTGTCTAGCATAAGCCAAAAAAACATCACACCAATGAAAGGGATTGGGGGAAGTGAAAATGATAGTGGGGGAGTAGGTGGGTAGAATAATACTCATGCAGTGGCCTTTTCTTCCCCAGGTCATCACCGTAGTCATAGACACAGGAGCCACTCAAAGTCTCCTGAAAGGTATGGATTGACCTTTAAGAATTTTTTCTTTATTCAGAAATTAAAGTCCCAATCACACAACTAAGGTAGACCTGAACTTTTGTTTTGATGGGGATATTTAGGAATTTTCCTTTTTTATAGGACAAAATTGGCCCATTGCCCTGAGAATTACTAGAATTCTGTATCTGTTTTGTGTTTTGTTTTTTCCTTGTAGGATTGCAGCTTTGGTCTCAGGAGATCTGTGGTTGAGTTGAGTGACACTGGACAAGCCACTTTCATTTGATAAACTTTAATTAGAAATTATTGCTATATGCTGTACACTGTCAGGTGCACTCTTAACCTCTCAGAGATCATTTCCTCAGTGGTAAATTTTGGATAGTAATATCTCAGTGTTGCTCTAAGACAGAACACCAAGTACATTTAATGAATATTGGGTATCCCCTCTCTATCCCCATCAGTATCAGCATACCCCGTCTTCCTCAAAAGTCGTTGCCTTGCTCCTTGAACAGCTGTTAAATTTATTATGGTTTATATGTGTTACCATTTCAGATCTAAGAAAAGCCACAAGAAGAGCCGGAGAGGGAATGAGTAATGGACTCAGTTTGGTATTAGTCCAAATGACCACCTGTGGATCCGAAGGCATCTATGTGGAGGGCTTAAGATCTACTCCCCAGGCAGCTATGAGAATATTTTAGGTCTTTTTAACCATATTTCTCCACTTTTCTTTTTCTTAAATGAAAGAGGTGCTGAGTTTTGTATCTCTCTGAGTCATACTTCGCATTTGAGGGATAGTGCTTCCCAAGGGCTGCTTTGGACCCCGTTGTGTAACCAACCTTGACTATACTCAAATTTATAAGGGTAGAAAGGATTTGAGGGGTGGAGAGGATGAATGACAAGGACAGGATGTGGCTGGCTGTTGACCTTTTTGTTATTAAATTTTATACACCCATTTTCCTGTAGTTCAGTTGTTTGGCTCCATGATGGTAACTGTTCTGAGAATCCTGAGATCTGTGCTGCTGCTATTACACTCAAAAATCAAGTCAGTAAAACCTATTACCTCTGTTTTTCCCCTCCCCCAACACGTCCATGTAGTAATAATAGCATGAAAACTGACGAGTTAGCAGCAGCTTTGTAAGAAGAAAAGAATGCATTCAAATGTAAGACTTCTTCTCTGGATCATTTAATCCAATTGCATTGAACAGTTCAACAATGAAACTGAAGCTTAATACCTTTTATACAACATTCTTATACAATACTACTTCTTCCCCAGGAGCCTTGAATTCTAGGTTATGGTGCGCAGCCTTTATCTTGTAAGCACTGACATTATCCAAGTATAGTCGGTAGCAGTAGGGCAACAAGATTGAAAAGAAGAGAAAAGTATCTAATACCACTCGGGGTTTTGACCTGAATTGCTGGAAAATAGTGCCATTCATTCATAGAGCTACAAAATACAGCAGGAACAGGCCAGGCTTTACAGGGGCATGTGGTCAAAGTTGTGCTGGTAGTAAAAAGTGATGCATTCAATTTATCCTGAAGTGTAATTAGAGGCTGCCATGGTATAACTAGATAAAGCCCAGGTTGTTAGGAACTGGAGTTGAACATAGTGATCTAACCCTGAACTGACAACATTCAGGTAACTGTGGAATATGCAGAATTATATGGGATTGCCCAGGAAGTGTTTATGTAAGAAAAGCCAACAACAGAATCATTGGCAACACTCAACACTGGTGAGAGGAAGCACTGCAATCAACCAACTGAAAATGAACCACTCAGAAAGGAGACAGTATGGCAAAGAAGCTAAGGGTCTGAGGATTCAGAAGCAAAATAAGAAATGCAGAGTGTCCGTGGGCACTGATAATCAAGAGGGTGCTGGGATCTTTGCTAGAAGAGTTCAGTCTACCAGTACTTAACCTTTCCTCCTCTAAAAACGGAAAAGTGAAAAAAAGGAATGGGGGAGGGGGAGTGATTTGACTTCCTGCAGCTCTGGACTCAGCAAGAATTATGGAGACCAACTGCCTCATAGGATCCAGTTTCTTGGGAAGTTATATCTGGTCATATGATAATTATTCTTTTGCTTGCTATTGAACTGAAGGACTTTTGCAATATTAAAGCATTTTGAGATATTTGAGATTTCATGTTCTTCAGTGATTCCTGATAATACTTGAGCTAATAAAAGTTGACCATAAGAGCTATTGTTATCCATTATACAACTATATATAGGACTGCCTTTAAGAATTAAATATAAGCACCTCTATATTTGTTATTGAGACCTAGCAGTTATTTCTTTACCAAAGTGATCTAGATGGAAAGAAATGTCTTCTGGCTTAATGACCTGTAGACCAACCAAGTTATCATCCAGTATTATTGTTAAAATATTCACTTTAAAATAAAAGATTCAAAAATTCAAAACCTGCCCCCCAAAAACCTGAACAACTTTTAATAACAGAAATAAGCCTCCCCAAACTATCAACTTAATGCGTACTTATTCAGGTATATGGTGAAATCTGAACCAAATTTCTAGTAACACAGCCAACCTATTGCAGGAAGCAGGTTGTTCCTATTCTTTCACTATTTCAAAGAGCTAAGAGTTTTTGAGTGGGATATGTTGAACATCTCTCTAGAGATTGGTGTAGTAAATTACAGAACTGCAGAGGAGATGGAGCTTAAGGACAAATTTTGCTGAGGGCGATTTCTGTCATCTATATGCTAGCCTAACTAGATGAGGCTCTAGAACTATAGCTTTGTAACTTTGACTAGCCAATATTAAGGAGCATTTTATATTTTACCTCTGTAACATATATTCTATAACTGTTGAAACAAATTTCAGGAAAAAAAAATTCCTTATGCAAAATATTTCCTGTATTTTTTTTAGTTTTTTTTTTTTTAAAGATTTTATTTATTTATTTGAGAGAGAGAGAATGAGAGACAGAGATCAGGAGAGGGAGGAGGGTCAGAGGGAGAAGCAGACTCCCTGCTGAGCAGGGAGCCCGATGCGGGACTCGACCCCGGGACTCCAGGATCATGACCTGAGCTGAAGGCAGATGCTTAACCATCTGAGCCACCCAGGCGCCCTAGTATGTTTTTAATATTGGATGTAAACCACTAAATTTATTTCACTACCCACAATTAATTTGGCGAAAGTCTTCCAGTATAACAACCCAACTTTTTTTTTTTTTAAGATTTTATTTATTTGAGAAGGAGCGAAAGTGAGATCAGAGGGAGTGGGAGAAGCAGACTCCCTGCTGAGCAGAGAGCCAGATGCGGGACTTGATCCCAGAACCCTGGGATCATGACCTGAGCCAAAGGCAGACGCTTAACCGACTGAGCCACCCAGGCGCCCCAACAACCCAGCTTTTAAATTTAAAGCTCATTCCCCTAGCCCCTTTCTGTTATTTCCATTATATAGATTGACCTGTGTATGACCTAAGGTTAAATAAGCATTAGTCAGAAAAGAATGATCAGGGGCGCCTAGGTGGCTCAGTCGTCGTTAAGCGTCTGCCTTCAGCTCAGGTCATGATCCCAGAGTCCTGGGATCGAGCCCCACATCGGGTTCTCTACTAGGCGGGAAGTCTGCTTCTCCCTCTACCACTCCCCAGCTATGTTCTCTCTGTCAAATAAATAAAAATCTTTTTTAAAAAAACCAAAAAATGGGGC